TCCTGTAATTCCATTATTCTGTTATATAATTTTCTCATTCTGCAATCAGTTCAATATTCTATTATTAATTAGTATCCTGGTTTTATATATTTTCTTGTTCTTAATTTGCATATGCTATCTATGTTATTTTCGGATTTTGCAATTCTATAATTCTTCAAGGCTAATTTGTAATTCTCTTATTCTATTAACCTAATTTGTAATTCCCTTGTACTACAATCCTGCAGCCTTACGGTCTTACAATTCTCCAATATCAGAATTTCAAATTTCAACAATACCTTTACTTTGCAATTTTATCATTCCATAATTTCATATTTCCATCCTGTTACAATTTTCAATTCAAACGTTTTCTCTAATTTTAACACGCTATTTTAATTTTTGAAATTTTTAAAATTCTATACACGGCGAATCAACTTTATAATTTTCTCATTATCATAATTTTTCATGATGGTCCACGAATTATGCACAATTTTACAATTACAATTTAACATTTTACTATGAAAATTTTCACAAATTATTATCAACATATATATATATGCAATTCCAACTTTCCATTTTCTACAATTCATTCAATGATACCTCGCTCTTGCGATACGAATTCATCCTCGAATTTCCACAATTCCACAATTCTACGAATTCTCTACAATTCCGCAAACCTGTAACTTCACGTTCCCCCAGGTTTGCACTTTCCCGCTTATATCTCGCACCAATATGCCCCAATACCATCTAGCGGGATTCTACACCCCCGCACATCGTCATAATATATACACGCAATTCGAAAATTCAATTTGCGCTCGCGTAATTCTACCATCTCATTTCACGGTTCCATATCTTTCCATCGAAAAGAACACAACGACCCATTAGATCCAATTTATCGCGGCGCACGAAACGAAACGTCTACCATGCCCGCCATATTCTACATTGTTCTGCACACAGTTGAATCATATTGTGCTGTACATTGTATAACGCCCATACGTCACGCGTATCCGCGCGCGTTGGTTTATTGTTACTAATAAATTTGCTCATTTGACAAGTGTCCTGTCGCAAGTCCTGCCTCTCGCGAACTGCATCCTCTCCAAAGGATGACACGTTGGACGAACGTGTTGTTGGACAAAAATTCCAATCTTCAGAAAAAAAAATAATTCAACAATTGTATAATTAATTTTAATTTTTAATAATGAGAAGTGATTACCTAGCACTTCCAAATATTTTTAAATATTTTGTTATTCGTTATATGTAAAGATTAGAGGAGTAGATTTTGTGATAAAATATACAGGCTCGTTATTATTAATTAATTTTATGAAACAATTATTAGAAGACATTCACGAGAAATAAATACACATTCATGAGAGTAAATACTTAATGATCGAATAAAAGGATATTTCCAAATAGTTTACTCCCTCGTTACTGTTATTTATAAATCTTATTTGACGAGCATCTTATGAGTATATTCACGGTACCCATGAATTTTTCCCTTCAAACTAAAACCAAAAATGTGGCACACGTCAAACGCTCGCTCACTTTAAATGGTTCTCAAATGACTGTCGTGTTTTTACCCGACAGCTTGTCCCTTATTTACCCTATCGCGTTATTACAACAAAATCGATCTGACCCGAAAGCCGTTTAAAACGCACGAAAATATCATTCAGGTTTCGTTCGATGAAAACATCCGGGCAAATATTTGTCGATCGTTGGTGATTAAAAAACCTCCCCCCTACGCGAAAAATATTAGCCCCCTTGTCGAAAATGTCGAAATTTTGCGATTCCGTGTTTGAAACGAAAAGGGCTCGAACGTTTCAATCGAATTAATTAATTTTGAACATTACTTTATCGATTATTTTGATTTTTTACGCGAGCAATTTAATTGAGATTGGAAGCTGGAAGCGTAGACGTCGAATAATTATTTATTGGCAGTTTGAAATTTTGTTCGTTTAATGCTCTCTTGTAGTTTTGTATTATTCACAATTGTGTGTCGATAATTTATTTATTAGAATAATTTAATTGAATGAATAGAAAATTGGATTTCAATTAATTCTATTTCTTAAACCATTTTTTTTTCATTTAAATATATAATAAATTTATAAATTGTTTTTCGATCGTTAGAATTTACAATGAATTATCATATTATTGAATTAACTTGTTGAAACTTATCATTCTAAAAAAAAATATAAAGAAAAATCTGACCACTGAAATTTCATATTCCTATCCTCTCACATATGAGACATAATATTAAGACATTCACCGAAACTTTCACATAATAAACTACTTTAATTTACTTTCCTTTCCCCATAACGTAACTGTAACATAACTTATACATATTCTACACAGAAGATCAAACGATTATCTGTCATAAATCACAAAAAAATCTTGACATCATACAGCGAACATACAGTGAATCTGTTTAACAAATCCATTAGAAAAAAAAAAAAAGAAATCAACATCTCCTTGTCTCAAACTCCATACCATGTAAGATCGCTAACAAGAACGATTGGAAAAGAAACGAATGAAGAGAAATAAGAGGAACACGGACAGGCCTGCAAAGAAAAACGACCGTGTGAAATCGATACAGCATGGTTCGATGGCGCGAATTACGAGTCCAACTCGATTATCCACGGTGCATTTGGACAGGTGTGTTCTCGAATCTTTTCGTCCCGTATAAAAGGCCGCGGGCAAGATGAGGTTTGCGGCCGACACGACGCCCCAGGGGTCTGGATCTTCGAACCGGTCCTCGGAGGACGTTTATACTCTCGTCCCTGAACGTTTCATTCTGTCAACCTCCCGTGATACCGTGTGAACGGCTTTCCTTCGTTCCACTTTCGACCCGAGATTTTCTCCGCTCGTTTCAACGCGTGACAACCGGTGTATTCCCGCAGTTTACAAGTGAGGAGAAAATTATTGAAATTATTGGAGGATATCGTGAGAGTTGTCGAAGATATTATTGTATGATATTTAAAATTTTTATGAGGAAATCAAGATATTAACTTGGATTGATTGTTTTTTACGAGATTAATAGTTACTTTCTTGTAAAATATATATAAGGCGAGATAAATAGAAGAAAAAGGTACGTGAACATTAAAATATGCTTCGAAAGAACGTCTCACAATAACTCTCTAAATATTTTCGAGACTTGCACTGAAAAGGAACGATTTGAACGTTACTCAATTCAATGTCCCGAGCGAGGGAGCGAGAAGAATTATTTACCGCGAGCAAATATTTTGAGAAACTTGAGGAGGAGCACGGTGTACCGAAGAAATCGTAGAAGTCACTTGAAGATCTTGTATCTGATAATTTCGAGTCCTCCACATGCATAATGAGACGAAACTTTGATCTCGTTCGTCATATCTTTCCGTCTCATTCTGCGAAACATTCCGTGAAATAATCGTTGATGTTTTAAATGTTTCTCCCGTTCCAAAAACGGGATTATTTTCCATAAATTCGTTTCCAGTTCCAAGGTATTTTAATCTCTGAAACGTTGCCAATCTCATCCATTTATTTATCCGTTTGCATTCTCTTGCTTGCCTCTTCGTCGTCGTTACCTCTCATCACTTTGCCTCGTTCCATCTTAATAAAGATTTAAATTAAATTTCGAGGATTACTAGATGATTCGAAGAATTTATTTCACGTTTCTTGAAGTTTCTTTAGGTAATTTTTATTTATACATTTTTTTTTTGTTAAACGATAATTACGATCTGTTATCGAGCTCTCGTTGTATTTTAGGTGACCAGGAAAGAGATCTTGTTATAGAAAGAGCGGAAGAAAAGTAATGGTGGAAGAAAATAGACGAAAATTGAAGGCGGAAGAACAAATGACGGGTACTCTATTCTATAATACAATGTAACACCCTGTTATTTGTTCCTAATTTCTTTTTCTTCCACTTCTCTAAAAACTTCCTTCCTTCTCTTTTCACAATGAAATCATTTTCTGGCAAAATGTATTGATGATAGACTGGCAGAAAAATTCTTTTCATGGAAGTAGTGAGAAAAAATAGTTAATTTTTTCTAAAAATTTAGTTGAATGGAAGTTGAAAGGAGATAGAAGATAAAGAGTAGAAAGTGTATTGCTTAGTGATCTTGAATACAATTGATTAACTTCTTATAGTGCACAGAATTTCTTCTAATTAAGACTTGTTACGAGGGCAACTTAATTGGTTTGAAGTACAAGGCTTATTTGAAGTGCTATTTCACAGATTAAGGATGATGAAATGATATATATAGGTTTTAATTAAAGAAATTGTTTAGAATTATAATTTGTAACATCAATTTGTATACAGAAAATATATATTTGCTAGAAAAGATTCCAATTTCTATAAAAATATAGATTAAACGGTATTTTGATTTAGAAGCTTAGAAAGAACATATTCATATGTAGTTTGAAAGCTTGTTTTATGTTTATGTTTCTACTGCTGTATTTTATTACTACATAAAAAGTATGATAAATCTATTTTTATTGACTTTATGATTTTCATATTTTTTCATGGCTCAGAAGGGGGACTTTACTTTATAAAATATTTAAAGAGAAGGAAAATTTTCTTTAAAGCTCAAAGATGTAACATCAAACACAAAAAATAATTAATAAATTTGTAAAGTTTCATAAAAACCAAGGATATAATTAATATTTGAAATGCAGCAAATATATTTAAAAATATATGTACATATAACTCAAAGAAAAAGACAATTTAGACAAAATAGATTTAACAACACATTTAAATATTTCTAAATTATAAAAAAATTCTAAATTATAAATTATATTGATTGTCATTACAAATTTTCCTCTTTTAATCCTTAGGTATATCTTCATACTAATAAATATTCTATTAAAAAAAAAAATTATTAATTTTTAATTTTCAAATCAAAATACAAAACTATGTGTAAAATAGAAATCAAAATCCCTCTAAATTGTTTAAAAAGTATACGTGTTTTTGCTATTTTCTTCATTTTTGCTCGAGCAATGGAGTAAGAATGTGAAATGAAAATGGAAATAAGGAATGCAAAAATGAAATTTACCTGTATATCGGTGCGTCTGCTTCCTCCTTGTACCAAATAACTAGATGCAGCTTGTCCCCGGGGACTGGAGGTTCCACGTCGCATGGTAACTGAGCAATTCCACCTGCCACTGCCTCCGCATCTGTCATTGTCACTGTAATGACAAAGACGAGCCGAAAGTCAGGTACATCATATGACAAGAGGAGAGCGTGACTGGAGTTTGTGTCAAATCGTCTGACTTAACTATCGTGTGGAAAGTTATCGATAAAACTTCGTGTCCAATCAAAATTGTTATCTTTGATTTTCCTAGGTAAATGATCTGAACAGTATCTGAATAGTAAGTGACGAGAACAATTTTTATTGATCATGATGATAAAACTTCATTTTTGACGAGTACAATTTTTTTTTATTTTTGATAAGTTTATAATTAGTGAATAAAAAAAAAATGATTTGATTTTGAAAATTGCAAGTTCATCTTTATATCGAAAAAAATTTAATCTTGCAATATAATATTTATTCTCCTGAAATTAGATTTAGATAATAAGAAAATAAGAAGAAGCAGAAATAGAAAATTTATGTCAGAATTCTAAGAAAAATTTTCGGATATCTCAATTATATATAATCTACTTTTCATTCATCATTATCCTGTTATTAAGTACTAAATTATTTTAAAACAATATAATCAAGCAACTGCTAACAATATATTACTCGGTAATTATCCCATTTGTCAAAACCTTGGCGCCCCTTAATTACTATCTTCAATCTTTTGAGATTGCACAATTAAAATGTATTTTCTAAAATATATCCTCCTCCAAAGACCACCCAATACTTATTATAAGAATCTAATCTATGATCTCATTCGTTTTGCAATCATAAATTTTAATTCTTTAAAATTTGCAAACAATTTTCTATACGTTGTGTATGTAAAAATTACGGTAAATATTAATTTTTATAATATAATAATAATTATTAAACATTGTACGTTGCGTGTAACTAATTTAGAAAATTAGACAGAATCATCTAAAGTTATTTTCAATTAAATATACCATGTTTCAAGAGAACTGTGCTGATAATTATATCCGAGTAAATGACTTTTAACATTAAACCAAAGTTCTAAACTCAACAACATGCATGCAGCCTGTATTGTATTCACGCTCGTGTCGTAAACATCTGCATTACACGAAATGAATAAATCTTTCATATTACCGAGTTACGTCGAATATTAATTTTCGTTATTCATTCGGGTAACCGCGTTGATTCACGTTAGCTAACGATATCGTGGCTCGTTACAGGATTGAATAAAAGAGGAATAGAGAAAGAGGTGGAAAAAAAAATGAAAAAGAAAGTGCAATTAGAGTCATTAATCAAACGTAATTGTAGCAATTAACCGGGGCGCTCTGAAGTCTACCGGTCTCTTTATACTTTGTGTGGCATGTGTATAATTTTCCTTAATAAGACTATGGGCGAATAGAGGCTAAGTGTAACGTAATACGGTCAAGATACTTTGTTAATGACAATTAGACGTATTAATTTACATTCTTTATTCGTTCTATCTCCTTTATCATTTGCATAAATATTACCAAGAAAGAATTTTAGCACGTAGAAACATTATTGATCATTCTACAATAACGTTTCAAAAATGTAGTTTCAATAAAAAAAAAAAAATGTTAATACTTATAATACTTATTTGATATTAATTTATAAATTTTAAAAAATGAACAATTATCAAGAAATTTTTAATTAATTAATTCCAACTTTTAGTAAAAAGTTTTTTTTATAAATAACGTTAATTACAGAGTTTTATCATTTTAAATAATATGTGTCAATTTTTATTTGCTTCAATTTTAATCATCCTTAATTATTCATTGCTTTATTTTATCTTATTTGTCTATACAAATAACCGAGTAAAAATATATTTGCTCCGAAAATATTATTCGAACTATTTACTGAAAAAAACTTCATTACGTTTTACGTATCAATCATTTAATGAAAACGTATGAACGCAATTTTTCTGTCATTTCAAAAACTTCAATTAACTTTTATAATGGTTATTTTGAACGGTGTACTTTCTAAATATTAAAAAAACACGAGAATCGTACCGTATAACTATTTACAATAATTTGACGCTTGTATAGTGAGACTAATATCTCTCTCTCTCTCTTTCTTTCTCTTTCTCTCTCTCTCTCTCTCTCTGTCCATCGAGAGAAAAAACGAAACGTATCCAAAACACGATAACAAATTCGATATCGTGTATCCATCGGCTGAATATTGAAACGTGTCAATGGCATGTCAAATACTACCAAATTGACTATTTATGAGACCAAAGGGTGGAAATTTCGTTTCCTGGTTTTTTTTTTATCGGAAATTGTATTGCCTTTTCCACTATCATGGCCGAAGCTCGTGGGAAAAGCGTGTATGAGTGAATATTCAATTTGAAAGGATAGTGAATTAACAATTTCATGGACAAATTTATCGGAATAGGAAATAACATTTCATTTATAAATAGAAAGTAACGTTAGAAATATCTATCAACTCGCATCATTTGGTTTGATATTTGAATTTCATACCGTTAGAAATATTTTATTCATATTGTATCTTTTAGAATTATTTCTTTAAATTAAACAAAATTTATATATACGTATAACGTTCTAAGTTTGCGATTTCTTTGAGAGAAGATAATAAAAACATTTCGATTATTTTTACTGCGGTTATCTATTTTAAATTCCCTATCTCTGACAGGGCGGTATTCTCAGACGATACAGCCGATTTGTCACGGAACGCCGACAATGACGGATTTCAGGTCAGCGATAGACGAGAATGACCGATTAATCGATGGCTATTATGCGCAATTAATTACCTGATAGAACGCTTCTCTACTTATCATGCAGACAAGAACGAAAGACGTGAATGTAACACGTTTGAAATATGATGTTAAGCGAATTATCACTTGTGCCACTTTCGTGTCTGACATTTTTTGCAAAGATAATTTTCTATATTTTATCGTAGTTTTTTTTATTATAAATTTATTTAATATGTATCATTAATCTTGTGTTACATGAACGTTACATAATTGCAGTAACACACGCAGAAGTTATATAATATACGATACGAATATTTTAATAAAGAAAATCGAAATTTAATTAAATTAAAATTTCTTGATAAAAAAATTTAAATAGAATTTGATATATCGTGCTGATCAATAATATTATCGAGTTGCAAAGTACAATTTTGTTGAATCGCAAGAAGAGTATAAAATCTTTCTAAAGAAGATTTTCGAAGCCATTGTGCAACTAGATTGGAGTGCGTCTCGTAAAAGTTTCACTACGTCCTCTTGATCGACTGTTCAGATAGTATTGGAATTCTAATATCCGATCAATAAAATGAAAACTAAGTGTCTTCTTTCTTCTGTATCGATTCACCATGCACACAATAAAGTGTTATAAATATTCATAAATTAAATCTTCTATAATTTATAAATAATTTACATTAGGTATTATTTTTATTATAAACTTTTCAATTTATATTATAATATCCGTGTTATGTATCGAAGCATATTATTATTCGCAGCAATATAATTTTGTCAAGAAAAATTGAAATTTATCAATTAAAAATTAAAAATAATCTTTTGTTTTATTGAAGAACTACAATCAATGTTATTCTTTTTATACTACGTCTTCAAACATTATTTCTATAAATAATATATTTACAATAATTATAATATATAATAAATATTAATAAAAAAAAATTCAAAATAATGAACAATATCCTTCTGCCTTTTCAAAAATACAAATCACCTTTCAACAAATATTTTAACTCGAAACACTATTAATTAACTACTACAGACAATATATCTACAGCAGACGATTGAAACTTACTAAATAAAAAAAAAAATAATTGAAATTTTTAAACAATATCTCTTTACGGAAACAATGCTGAACAATGGTCATTTTTATCACCGCCTCTCGATTCACATTAACAGCTTCGTGTTACGCGTGAAAACATAAACGATTCGCGGTCCAAGCGTGCAGGATCGATAATTTGCACGCATAACGGATGGCCAGTAGTCAACAACGGTTCGCAACGTTAATTAAAACGCAACTGGGTGGCTGTCAAGAATATTCAGCCGCTCGTTGAGTCGTTAACTCGCTTAAGTGCGTTCCTTCGCTTATGAATATGCAAACGTGTTTTAATGCGCCGGCTATTTGTTCACGTGGCCCGCAAACGTTAAAACGCACCAAGTTTCCTGCACCACCATTTCCTACCTGTGTTAATAATACGTGTGGGAATCGATCCGAGGTGTGTACGTGCTCATTGGGCACGGTGCGTCTATGCGATTGTCGATCGCAGGAATCTGGAACGAACGATCCTAATAGAGGACAGGGTGCGACCGAGCGAAACTATCCCTCCTCTTGGATATATTCCTCTTGGACACAGTGATAATGATGTTATAGGGTTGATTGAATCTTTTACGGGGCTGTGAATTATTGATTATCGATCGATTTTTGAAAATATATATCCTTATTTTACTTTGCTTCCTAAATTTTATTCAAATTTCTCATTTTCTTGGCTTTTGTTGAAATAGGTGTGAATTTGTTCCCTCACTAAAAAAGATATATTCTATTGGTGGTTTTCTTTACAATGCTGTATTTATGTTATTTTATAATTCATTATATTTGTATAAGTAATAAGAATTATTCTTAATTCTTCTTTTGTAAATTGAATTTTTGGAAACTATTCAAAAGTATAAAGACATTAACATTCGTCTGTTTTAAAATATTGTAAATGAACGTTTCATTTTCAGCAAGTATCAGCAAGAATTAACCTACAAACTTCC